CCTGTGGCCCCGCCACTGTCACCTGATCCTAGTTCACAGGGCAGTGTTGTAGGGGGTGGGAACCAGGAGCAGGGCAATCAAGGCAATGGAGGGAGGGCTGGAGGAAAGGGGCGAGGCAGGAATGGCGGCGGAAGAGGAAGGCAATGGAATGGCCAAGGCCAGGGGTACCAAGGCCAAGGGAGTCAACGCCGGGGGTACCAAGGCCAAGGGAGTCAGGGCCAGGGCTATCAAGGCCAGGGGTACCAAGGCCAAGGGAGTCAGGGCCAGGGGTACCAAGACCAGGGCTATCAAGGCCAGGGGGATCAGGGAAGTCAGGGGTATGGAAGACCCCGCTTTGACTGGAGGACGGCCATCTGTCAACATTGTGACCAGCAAGGCCACACTATAAGGTTCTGTAATATAAGACGGGAAGACGAGAAAAGCGGGCTGATTTCCTCTACTATGGATGGGGATATCTACGATCAATTTGGGGAGGCCATTGACAGAAGACTTGGAGGAGAGAGAGCAAGAGCGGCAGCGGGACCACCGCCCCCTGCAATGTTCAGGCTATGGCAGGAAAAGGAGGAACCACCGTTTGGGGTGGAAAAAGTGGGAAGTGATGAGGAAGTGACTCAAGGGCTACGAGGAGGAAGTGAGACGAAAAAGGCCATAATCATCGAGTCAGATGACGAGGAGGGGGAAAAAATGGAGCCTCCGTCCGTCCTATTTGAGAAGATGAAGGATTTGCTGGATAAGATGGGGAGGCACCAACAGAAGTTAGTGGGCCTCTGTAAAGAAGTGAAAGGATGGAGGTCTAACATCCCCACAGTATTCCTCTATGACTCTGGTCCGGAGTCAGCGCCTGGGCGACCCGGAGTAAATGTGGTGAGGTCGTGCCCTCAACCAGGAATAAGGGGGAGACCCCTCACTCCGCAAGCCCGGCTGGCACAGGCAGCGCGAACGAGGAATCAAGCCAAGGCCAGTACCAGCCAAGAGCCTCCAAGGGGGGAACACGAACCAGGGATAAGGAAGGAGGCTGTGGAAGTAGAGGACGATGATGACGAAGAGGAAGAGGACGAGAGGCTGCGCAGAGAAGAGGATCAGAGAGCGGAGCAGCGGGCAAGGAAAAAGGGGATCAGGGGAGAGGCCGAACCGGTCATACAGGACGGACCGCCCAAAAAGAAGAAATACGCGGTCCGGTTGGAAGAAGGATTTGACGTAGAGAAGGTGATTGACCGGCTACTAGAAGGGCATAATGACCTCATGACCCTGAAGGAAATCCTAGCGTCAGCCCCGCGACTCCGCGATGAACTGAAGGGGAGGTTATCACGGCGCCTGGTGCCCAATGTCCATCTGGGTACGATCCTGCCCAAGGAGGCAGAGTGGGCAGAGTCAGGTACGAAGATGGACTGGAAGTGCGTAGCCTGCGGAACGGTGGATTTGATGGTGAAGGGTTCCAAATGCGCAGCAATGGTGGACACCGGGGCAGAGATGAACATTATTTGGGAGGCGGACGCTATCAGATTCGGGTTGGATATAGACCGTTCTGACTGCGGTATTCTGCATGGAGTCAGCTGTAAGGCCGTGTTTTGTGGGACAGCCTCGAATGTACTCGTCGAGGTTGGAAAGGTGAAGGTCAGGGCATGCTTCTTCATAATGTCAGACGTGGACCATGGAATCCTCCTCGGGAGGTCATTCCTAAGTAGGACAGAGACCGTGATGTTCAACAAATATGACGGGATGTTGATCCTCCTCTTATGCGATCCTGCCTGCGGAAATTATGAAATAATTACTTGCAGGAACACCGGGCCAAGGAGTATAAGGAACCGGCCCAATCCAGGATCATTCACAATCGAGGAGTCGGAAGGGGAGCGCAGGAGGCTCTGGGCAGAGCCCGAAGCAGGAGAGGGGGTAGAAGCGTTTTCCCTCAGCCTGTCTGATGTTGGGAAGGCCATGGACCTGGTGGCCGCGCATGAGATGGTAGATCCGGATGCCATCCAGGCCTTGAGGGAACAAGTTCTGGAATGCCCTGAGGCAGGAAGGTTGRAACTAGTATATCGGCTCCCAGGCAGTGGAGGGAACCTCGCATCAGCGCAAACACAATCTGTGAGTCGGCCTTTTTTAGGGGACGGCTCAAGCAGGGTTCCCAAAGGCGGTACAAGACGGTAGATAAAAAGTGCCGCCCAGTACCCGTCCTCGTTACAGAGGACGAGGAAGCATATTACGAGAGGGAACGAGGGTTGATTCGACAAATGAGGGAAAGTGCTTTAGCAGGGCCATGTCGGATTAACGAAGGGAACGAGAAGGAGTTGATCATAGGGGAGTCTGATTTCCTGCTGCCTCAGGAGCGAACGCTGATGGTGGAATTAATGAAGAGAAAGCATCGCGCCTACGCGTTTAGTGACGAGGAGCGTGGCAGGCTCGATGTAGATAAGATAACTATGATCCGCATCCACACCGTGCCACACGAGCCTTGGAACATGAGAGGGGCACGATATCCCAATCCTGACGAGGAAAGAAAGGTGGTGGATTATCTCGACGGCAAGATACGTACTCACGTCGCCGACTATTCAAGTGGACCGTATGCGTCCCCGTGGTTCTGCTTTATTAAGCCTAACGCGACGCTGCGGTGGGTGCAGGATTTGCAAAGATTGAATGCAGTGACCGTGCGAGATGCTGGAGGACTGCCGAACGCAGACGCGCTGTTCGAATCCTGTGCTGGAAGGCCTATAATTTCGCTTATAGACCTTTACTCAGGATACGATCAGTTCCCAGTCTACCCGCCGGATAGACTGGTGACAGCTATGCACATGCCGCGAGGATTAGTCCACATGAACGTGGCCCCACAAGGGTGGACCAACGCAGTAGAAATGGTCCAACGGGCCATGATTCGGGCCATGCAGTCAGTCAGCTTCCATATCACACAGCCGTACATTTACGATTTGGCAGTGAAGGGGCCGGCGACGAAAGAGAGCGACGAAGTTTCACCAGGGGTAAGGCGTTTTATCTGGAAACACATTCAGGACCTCGAAAAGGTCCTGAGCCTGCTCGAAGAGCATAACCTCATGGCAAGCGGGGCCAAATCCAGACACTGCATGAAGGAAGCGACTATCTTGGGGATAGTCTACAATGAGAAGGGCCGAAGGCCGGATGTGAAGAAGATGGACAAGATTACTGAGTGGCCAGTTCCGTTCCACTCAATAACTGATGTCAGGAGCTTCCTTGGTACGTGTGGATTTTGGAGGGCCTTCGTCCAAAACTTCACCGCTAAGACTGAACAACTGAGGAAGTTAGTCCATCAAGATCAGGAATGGGTATGGGGTGAGGAACAAGAAGAGGTGGTAGCAAAAATGAAGGAGGAATTTCGAGAAGGAGGGTTGGTGTTAGGAGCGCCAGATTATGACGCCACAGAGACGCGACCCTTCATTATCGAGATGGATGCGGGGCCGACTGCCTTAGGGGGAGTTCTAATTCAGGCAGACATGGAAGGGAAGGGAAGACCCTTGCGATTTGAGAGTCGGACTCTCTGTACGACGGAGAGGAACTACTCTCAGTTCAAGAGGGAGACCCTTGCTGTCCTCCATTGTCTGCGAATCTTCCGGAATTATATCTTTGGCATGAGGTTTATTTTGAGAGTGGAACCGACCGCCCTGGCCTACTCTCTAAGGAATTACATTCCATCGCATCCGACCATTGCCAGATGGCTGACGTACATCTGGATGTTCAATTTCGAATTGGAACGGATTCCTGGTAGTAAGAACCAGGCGGACGGGCTGAGTCGGAGCAACTGGGATAAGCAAGAAGAGGAGGCGGTGGAGAATACGCCCCCAGTTGATGGATTTCTGGATCAGGAAGAAGRTGTTCGTCTTCATATCAACAAATGGTCGCCGCGAGTGCCTAGCTATGTAGGCTATCCTATCTGGCAAGCGCCGAAGGGGTATGAAAGGAAGAATGAGTTAGTTCTTAAGCCCTTTGAAGAAGAGGATCCCTGGGGCGGTAAGGATGTTCAGTGCATGATGGAATTAGCGCTGGCCAGCTCGCATAACCTAGTGGAGGATATGAGGACGATTGAGGAAGGACCTGGCCAGGTAGAACGGCATGAGGACCTCATGGGAGGAATGTATCTCCTCGTCAATACGTTATTGCAGGAAAGCCTAGACCAGTCGGGCTCGTTGAACCCGGCAGGGAATGGGGACGAAATACCCGAGAGCCAGGACGACGAATTCGAAGAAGGGGAAATTAAGGAGGTTTTTCGTGCAGAGGAGTACGACGGGATCTACCTAGAGCTGGGGCTTCTTCTGTCATGTGAAATGCGGCTAAGAGATGCGAGCGATAGGGCTCAAAGGATGCTGCAACGCTACTTAGTGCGAGACGGTCACYTTTTCGTGAGAAGGGAAGTGRGGAATCCYAGGAGGGTCRTYTRYAGTAGGAATCGTCAGATCGACGTCGTAGCAGCACTACACGATGGCATTGCAGGAGGGCATCGAGGGGTACAAGCCACGTATGCCAAGATAAGTGAGCTGTACTACTGGGATGGAATGATGGACATGGTTGGGAAATTCTGTCGATCTTGCGTACCCTGCCAGGAGAGATCCCGCTTAAGGCAGGGATCCAAGGTTAGAGCGAGAGTTAGGGGCCGTAGTGCATCTCGATCTGCTTTTTATGCCACTTGGGGATCAGGGCTATAACTATATCTTCGATGCGCGTGATAACTTCTCTGGGTTCGTAGACGGGCGAGCTATTCGCACAAAGACCAGGTTAGTCCTGGTGAGCTGCATCGAGGAGTACTACCTGCGTTATCCTTTCGTCAGGGAATTCGTAATGGACAGGGGATCAGAGTTTACCTGTCAGGACGTGCAAGAATTGTTAGCAAGATATGGTGTGGCAGCCAACTACACCACGGCCGCGCACCCCCAGGCAAATGCTCCCGTAGAGAGAGGACATAGTACCATTACGAACCTCCTCGCCAAATGGACCGAAGGTAGGCCTAATCAATAGCCAAGATACCTAAGGGCGACTTTCTTTGTCGAGAACATTACAGTAAAGAGATCCACCACGTACGCATCTGCGACGCTGTGGTACGAAAGGCATGCCACCTTCCCTATCGAAAGCTTTCTTAAGACGTGGATGCGCCGAGATCTGGAAGTCAACCTCTCATTTGAAGAGTTGCTCGATATTCGAGCGCGGCAGGTCGGGGCGATAGAAGAAAAGATCCAGGAGGCATCTGATCAGGTGGCGAGAAACCTTATGGATGATAAGGCCCAATGGGATCAGTCTGCGCGAGTGAGGAAAGTACCCTTGGCAGTCGGGGATGTCGTGCTTATCTATGATACGTCGCTGGAGAAGCAGTGGTCCAGGAAGCTCGATAAGAGATGGATAGGTCCCTACCGAATTGCACGGGTCGGAGACTTCGGAGTGTACCAGATCGAGGAGTTAAATGGGACTGAGTGGAAGGATTGGGTATCTGGAGCGCGACTGAAGAAATTCGTGGCGAGAAAAGAGGTAAGAGAGATGACCTGACCGCCCCTAGAATAGAAGTAACAGGGTGTGTAGGTTAGGAAGGGTGCATGTTGCATAAGTGTGGTCTGGTCTGAGCTGGCTCTGATTACCACCTGCTTGCTTACCCCAACGTGTTTCTGTTGTCTCCTTCGCCTGTTGTGCAGGTCTGACTTTACGAAGACAGCCATGCCAAGAGGAGGGAAGAGGACACGACCGCCTCAGAGGCCGTTGGGCGCATCAGGAGGATATGAGCGGCATGGGCCTCGCCAACGAGAGAGTACTCCAGTCTACAATGATGGGGACATCGAGCTATTCCTGGACAGTTTCTGGGAGCATGCGAGGCGTATAGGCTGGACAGTCACTCAGGCGATTGAGAGATTGAGAGGAGCAGGTAGGTTCGAAGAGCCCATTGCCAGGATTCGTAGGGAGGCGACGACGAGGCAGGAGGTGGAGATAAGCATGGAGGAGTTGCAACCCTCGCCTGTGGGACCTGATGGCAGGCCGATCCGCCTGGAGATTGGCAATGCATCGGACTTCATCCCCGCGTTTGAGTGGTTTATGCAAGAGCAGGGCATACAGAGAGATGATTGGATGCAGACACTACCACTCTGGACCAGGAAGGCGGAAAGGCCACTGGCTATGCAGATTAGGGACATGACACGAGATTGGAAAAGCTGCAGGGCACATTTGAGAGAGGCCTTTCGATGGCCAGAGCTCCCTTAGCCCAGAGTCGAGAGGCGGCAGAGGAGTCAGAGCCCGAGGGACCCTGAGCCCAGGGAGGCGAGACCATCTCGAGGAGGACGGAAGGCCCTAGCCAGAAGAGAGAGCAGGAGCCAGAGAACGACGAGCGAGGGGCATACCCTGAGTGTGGGTTGGGGCCAGTGGAGTTCCATCGTTTTACTGAGGGTGGATTGAGGAGGTCGCCAGCACACACACAGGGAAAGCCACCAGCGTCAGAGGGGCCCTTGAGGGAATTAGAGATGCATTTAGATATCTCTCGGTGGAGGGCGTCACGTCAGGGTGAGGAGCATGGAGAGCAGACAGAGGAGGTGCCACGAGAGGAGGTACCACAGGAAGAGATCCGAGGTACTCAGCGAGAGAGTGGGATGGGCGATGAGGGGAGACGTGCAGGGAAGGAAGTGATAGAGGTTGGAGAGGACACGCCCCCACAGACGCCAGCAGTGAGTTTGAGACTCGGGGATGCACCAGGGAGCACCCGGCCGGCAAATGAGGGGTTGCAGAGAGAGGAGACCCCTTTACCTTCGTTAGAAAAGGCTCCTTCGCCAGAAGAGAGGGCAGCTGTAAGGAGAGAAGCTTTGATCCTGATTGATAAGCACCTAGCAGCTCATGCCCAGGAGCACCCAGACCTGGAGGAGCCAGCACCTGCAGAGCCACGCCAGGAGTCATGCCAGCACGAGAAGGAAATGGAAGCAGAAATCCCAAAGAGGGTCGACCTCCGCACGAGGGAAAGGGTGCCAGCTGGAGAGACGGCCGAAGAAAAGAGGGCAAGACGAACCAGGTGGATAGATGAGATATGGCAGGAGAGGCAGAGGTTAGAGGCAGCTTGGGAGCTCCCGGAGCAGCAGCAGGAGAGGCGGAGATCGGAGGCAGCAGGAGCACTCCCGAGTCAGCCGCCCAGCGCGCCAGCCAAGGCCCCGGAAATTCCTGAAATGTGGAGAGACTTCTGGGAGCAGAGAGGAGAGGTGCTTCCATCGCCAGTCAGAGCCGGGTCTGGGTTGCTTGGAAGGCGGAAGAAAGGTTAGATCGTAAAATCAAGTTCCTGGCCAAGACCACTTTTGACCGGCACTTGTTATTAGAGGGCGATCTGGCGGGGAAGAAAATGAAGGAAGCCAGCCATGGAGTACGTCTGGAGGCTATGGAGGTGGAAATTCAGGAACTTAGGGCTTTGGTGGCCAGCCAGGCAGCTATCATTGAGAGCCTGAGGCAGAAAACCCAGGGAAAGGAGGACAGACCAGAGAGCAGCCGGCAGGGAGAGCAGAGGCAGCCAGGACAGGGATTGTCAGGACAGCTATCTGCGACAGAGCCTCGCCAGGAGCCGTCTATGGGGAGAGTTATCCTGGAGCCAGAGGAGGCGAGAGCCCAGAGATAGGCGGAGAGAGAGGCGTTCGAGTTTAGAGCCCCTACCGAGCTCGCGACGCTGCCGGTGGTGGCGGCAGGCCCAATCGTACCTTTGGCAGTAGAGGAGGGGCTGCCACCATCTAGTAGTGAGCCGACTCAGGGCTCGACAGACGGATCCATGGGCGTGCTCCTTGAGGCGGTGCATACTATGCAGGAGGAGGTGAGTTTGTTTTCACCTGAGCAGAGGATAGAGGAGCCTTTTGAGAGAGAGATGGGGATTGAGGAGGAGGGTGCCATCGAGGGTAGACTCCAGAGGATGGGCACACCTGAATATGGACCAGAGGAGATTGAAGAGCAGCCCATGGCAGTGCCAGGGGCGGCACTCGAGAGGAGGCCTCAGAGGATGAACACGCCCGAGTACGTCCCAGTAACAGAGGATTTGAGAGGCAGACTAGGATTTTGGGCTACTGGATCTGGGTCTGGTGGACTAGTTCCGGGGACAGAGCGGCAGAAAGTCGTTGGCACCGCAGCTCCTCAAGCAGAGCAGCAGGGGGTCATCAGTACCTTGGTAGAATCTCCTTCATCACCACCTCCTCAGCCCAGGAAGAAGAAGTTTAAGAGGAAGGTTGATCAACTATGTTTCTACTGCAAGAGGAGCGCGCATCACGCTTTGGACTGCCTCGAGTGTCTTGAGGATAATGCAGCAGGGAAGATTTCAGAGGTAGGGGGTAAAATGTATGATAGACAGAGTAGGATAGTAGATAAGTCCGCAGATGGACTTAGGGCTCAGTTATATAGGCAAAACTAGGAGGAGTTGAGGAGGTTGGGCCGACTTTGTCTATATAAGCGAGCGGGCATTTTGTGAGGCATCAACTTAGGTTCTGTGTGATACTCTATTAGACTTAGAAGACATTTTGATGATTACTGTTAATCTAGATCTGAACTCTAGTGTTACTACTGAGTTGGGGTTTTGAGGGTCAGGGTGGTTCAGATGAGGCATGTACATATTTAGGTGGCCTACGCCCTGGCCTTTGAGAGACGGATCTGACACGTATTCTAAGGATAGTTGTCAGTGTGGGTTTGGTGTGGTTTGAGTTGAGCAAGCTATGATTTGGAGACACTTTCTGTGTGAGACATTGTACTCCCTGAGTGTATATTATGATGAGGTTTCCTTCAGGGACCATTCTTATATGTGACGATCACTTGTCTCTCTCACATGTGTGGTTGTACTCTGTTGTATGATGAGTTTGTGTGGACAATGTGTGAAAAACCTTTTATGTATCTTGGGTATTGTGAATATGATTGTAAGTAAAACTGTCTACTCCTCGGTATACTTGTGCGACCTGCCCACGACAGCTGATAGGGCAGAGTATAAGTGGAGGAAGCGCAGTTCGTCTGTGAAAGTTATCTAAGTTGTGATGAGGACCCATAAAATGGTCTCTCAGTGACGTTCTATTTTATGATGGGACCCCCCTCAGATTTTGAAAAAGAAGGGATGTTTCGTGATATTTTGTGGTGTAACGAAACCCCTCGTGATTTTGAGAGAGGGGGTGTTTTGTTTATAATAAGACCCTCGTGATTTCTGGAAGAGGGAATGTATTGTTTTATGGCGAGACCCCTTGCGATTTTTGGAAGCGGGGGAGTTTTGATTATGAAGAGAGCCCCTTTTTGGATTGTTGGAAAACGGGAGTGGTTTTTTGTTGAAAGACTCATCCTCAGAAGTGAGTAAATTGATTTATTGCATGATGAATTGTTCGATGGGTGATAAAGTCTGACGGAAAGGGGCCACTTTTTGTTTGAAATGTTTGAGAAAATCGCAATGAGTACAGGGCGAAAGATGTCTCAGGGTGGGTGGCTGCTGGCTCTGATCAAGTCAGGGGTCACGACCTGGTGGATTTAGCGGTGATTTTGCGTGTAAGTGTGCGAAGGAGGCCATGCCTATTGAAGGAGGGCTGGTAAATGCCTTCGAACCCCTGCGTATCGCGCAGTAGGCCTGTGATTTTATTTTTGCGACGCACCCGTTTAACCACTGGTGCTAATTCTGAGACATATTGAAGAAAGGCCAAACTAACGGAAAAGAAGTTAGTACCTCTAGGGCGTAACCCCATTGGATGGCTGCTAACCGACGCAACCTGGTTGCGGGACCACGGGGTAAGAGTTTAAGGGGAGTTGCCTGCCCCAGGGAAATTACTCTGTGGGATAGTGAAGGTTGAGATTTTGGGAGGTCCTGATTGAGTGCCTATCAGGAGAAACCCTATCATTGCATAACCAACGAGGGTACTGCCGTTAAATAACAATGCGGTGGGCCGTAGTCCTGGTCCGATCAACCAGGCTATGGTGGGCTAAGATGGAGACCGGGCCTTTCTGTACTAGACTGCAGAAAGAGCGGAGTGGATATTAAATTTACATATATTTTTGATTGCGAGAGATTTTGAGAAAGAAGGCCAGAGTGCCTTCAAAGGTCTCGGTTAAGGCCCGCGTCCCTAGTTTTTGCCCGGATTAGGGACACCCAACGAGAAGCCGAAGGTTGTCTAGGACCGGGGAGAGGACGATTGGGAAGGTCTTTGGAACTTATGCTGCCAGTGTCCTAATTTCTGGACGGTGTGAGGCACAGGTTAGAAACCTGGCAGCATATAGTTGTGGAGGCATGGTTTGATGGAGGCCTCTACCCTGTGTTTGTCGGCTAGTCGGATTGGCTCACTTCTTTCGTCAGCATTTGGAGTGTGACGGGGACGTCGTTTAATATGGTCCGGTAAGGCTGTCGGTGCGAATACCCTTACAAGGGTATCCGCCCTAGTTTTTGCAAGTAACAGAAAATTGTTTGGCTTAAAGTTTAAGTATACCGCGCTAAGCGAGGCCGCGTCTGTGAGTTACGTTGACGGGAAGGTTGACTATAATAGCGAGTGCGTGGGCGCGCAGGGTTTAAGGCGCGCGTGACTCTTTTCTATTGTTGATCGTAAAGCCGGCCCGGACCTCGGTCGTTTTGCTTAGTGATATTAATACTTATTTATATTTGATTAAGCGAGAATTGGGGGAATTTTCGGTTAGTGGTATGTTTGATTGAGACCTGTGCGCATACGGAAAA